CGATTTTCTGTCTGTAATTAATGCATGGTATATTTTTTTCATATTTATTGAGGGAATTCATTAAGGGTTGAAGCCCTTGGATTTGGTTCAACCAGTCCCTATAGTAGTTGAGCCACTGTATCTAAATTTAGCTAATCAAACAGAACATATGGATTACAAATATAAAGTCTAATATCGATATACCTGCGATAAATATCAATCATTGATTCAATACAACGTTTCAACAATTTACACCTTCATCACCAGGTGAAAATGATTGCTGATAGTTGAAACGTTATGTAAAATAAAACCCAGAAGTAGTATACATGTACCATAAAATTGTGTTTGGTTATTTAATGTGATCTCTACCCCTAAATATCACATTATTGTAGATCAATAGGATTGAAGACCCATTAGAAACAGATCACTGCTTGTGACTTGACGTTTCCCTAGTTAAAGCACCATCTCACCATTTTTGATCCAGTGAGACAGTATCTATAGGAAGCTGTTAGAAAACTACTGTACCGATTGAAGAAAAAAAGCCTTTCTGTAGAGAAATGTGTCTCTTAAGTTTAATAAAAGGTTTCAACTAATAATATCGAGCCGTTGATTGGTGAAAACTGATAATCATATGCAATTAGAACATAATGATATGATTAAGGATACATGATAATTCCCTAGAAACACCAATTAATCATATACATTTGAATTTGACACTAAAAAATAAGGAAACCAATCTTTAAACCTATTATGCTCTTATTAAGCTGAAATTCACCATAAAAATCTATCCACCATTGAACTGCCATATTTATTACTAGTCTCGAAAATATGAAATATGACCACCACCCACCAACTATAAAACCCAGGAAGGACACGCCTACCAAATTAGTCTGCGATATCAGAAAATGACTGGCCATATGCCTACCAACCAACCAGCCACTTGGAAGCAGATGTTAACTTGTCATATACCTACAAACCATCCACGTGGAAGCGGATGTTAACTTGCCATCTACCACCCGCCAATAACGTGGAAGCGGATGTTGACTTGTCATGTACCAACTAACCCATCAATCACGTGGAAGCGGATGTTAACTTGCCATCTACCACTCTCATCAATCACATGGAAGCGGATGTTAACTTGCCATATACCACTCTCATCAATCACGTGGAAGCGGATGTTAGCTTGCCATATACCACTCTCATCAATCACGTGGAAGCGGATGTTAACTTGCCATATACCACTCTCATCAATCACGTGGAAGCGGATGTTAACTTGCCATATACCACTCTCATCAATCACGTGGAAGCGGATGTTAATTTGCCATATACCACTCTCATCAATCACGTGGAAGCGGATGTTAACTTGCCATATACCACTCTCATCAATCACGTGGAAGCGGATGTTAACTTGCCATATACCACTCTCATCAATCACGTGGAAGCGGATGTTAACTTGCCATATACCACTCTCATCAATCACATGGAAGCGGATGTTAACTTGCCATATACCACTTTCATCAATCACGTGGAAGCGGATGTTAACTTGCCATATACCACTCTCATCAATTGCGTGGAAGCGGATGTTAACTTGCCATATACCACTCTCATCAATCACCTGGAAGCGGATGTTAACTTGCCATATACCACTCTCATCAATCACGTGGAAGCGGATGTTAACTTGCCATATACCACTCTCATCAATCACATGGAAGCGGATGTTAACTTGCCATATACCACTCTCATCAATCACGTGGAAGCGGATGTTAACTTGCCATATACCACTCTCATCAATCACCTGGAAGCGGATGTTAACTTGCCATATACCACTCTCATCAATCACGTGGAAGCGGATGTTAACTTGCCATATACCACTCTCATCAATCACGTGGAAGCGGATGTTAACTTGTCATATACCTATAAATCAACCACTTGGGTGCGAACGTTAACTTGTCATCTATTTAGCCACCCTGACTTTGATATGTATACAAATCTCACAGACAGATATTAAAGATTATCTTATTAATGCTTATAATGACTCATTAGAGAATGAAATCCTGCCAACAACATTTAGACGAGGGGTTATCACTATTTTACCGAAAAGTAACAAACCTAGAGAATTTGTATCAAATTGGCGACCAATACCACGTTTGTACGTCTCGTATAAAATTTTATCAGGCTGTTTGGCAAACAAAATGAAAGTTCACCTCGATAAGATTATCAATGAAAATCAAATGGGTTTCCTTAAAGGGCGTTTTTGAAATGAAGTTGATGTGTAGTGAACTGTTGGTGATGGGTTGTTCTGGTGGGGTTACTATTTTCCCAGAGTTTCTCCAGTCAACCAACTTGTTGACTGGTCTCTCTACAATTTGGTATCTGATCTCTAATTCCCACTATTGTTTCCTTTTCTTTCCAAATAACTCANAGTACTTGTGATATTCCACTTTCTTTATTCTTGGTC